GAATGCCCCTTCAAAAATTCAAAAATTCAAAAATTCAAAAATTTACCAAAATACCATTATATAAATGCCCCTTCAAGCACTGTTCACGTCCGGAGAGAGAGAGTGAGGCGGTTTTCAGGGGCCTGAGAGCATGGTTGTTAAGATCGCGATCCGGATCGTAGGATCGTACGATCCTATGACCCAATATACAGCATTCGATCTGACTCGCACTTTGGATCGACTCCAGGTCAGGATCGTGGTGGGATCATAATAGGGTCGTTGGGATCCATGGGATCGTTTCTGGATCGCAACTATGCGATCCAGATTTGAAGCTATTTTTCGCAACTTAAAAGCAAAATCGGGAGTAAACAGACAGCGAAGCAGAGAAGCATACCTTGCGATTAGGGCAAATTTCAACAGCAAATTTCTAAATTTGAAGCCACAATCAACCAGGTACGCTTCTTCCTTCTTCTTCGAATCTTCTCTTCCTCTTTCTTCGTTGCTTTCTTTGCTGTTTCTTCCTCTCTCTTCACTACTCTTTTCGCTGTTCTTCCACCGCTCTCTTCGAATCTTCTCTTCATCTCTTTCGTCGTTGCTCAGTTCTCTTTCTTTCCCTTCACTGAGCTGCTTCCCTTCTTTTTTTGAGCTGCTCTCATTTTGTGATTCGAATCAAACTCTTTTTTTTTTCTTTTTTTTCTTTTTTTCTGTAAAATATATATTAGTGTATATTATATATATTAATTGTTTTTTCTTTTCTTTTTTTTTTTCTCATTTTGTTCTCTTTATATATATGTTTATGTTTTTTGTTCTCTTTTTTTTTTCTGTGTCTTTTTTTTTTTTTTTCTTTTTTCTGTAAAAATAATCAAACTCTTTGCTGTTTTTTGTTCTTTTTTTTTTTTTTCTCATTTTGTTCTCTATATATTAATTGTTCTCATTTTTTTCTGTAAAATATATATTTTGTTCTCTTTAAAATATATATCAGGACACCAACTTATGCACTTGTGTATTGAACTCTCTTCCTTTATGCTCCTCGAGTCTCCTATTTATGCACTTGTGTATTCAACTCTCTTCCTTCATGCACTGTTGTTCTTCTTTATTTATTTTTCCTAAAACTTTGCTGAAAATTCTTCTTTTAATTTTCACAATTTGCATTGCAGCACACAATGTCAGCATCTGGTTCAAGAAGATGAAGGAAGAGGAAAAATGCTGCTGGTCACAAATAATTTCGGCAACCATGATGACTTTATTTAGTCTTTTATTTGTTCTTCCTTTATTTAGTTTGGCTTGTTTTCATTAAGAAACAATGACAATGGTGTGTAAGTGTTGGTATTTGTTTTTATTATGTTTTTCACTTCTTTTTTTGGAAAAATATGTTTGAATGGTACCTTGAATTGCTATATTTCTTTTTTGGGGGCTTATTCTATATATATTTTGATAGTATTACTTAGTCATATAAAAATTATTACATTTTTTTATCATTTTAGTAGGATCTTACGATTCTCGATCCGATCCTACGATCCGATTCGACAGACCCCCAAAACGATCCTATGTAAGATCCCGATCTTAACAACCTTGCCTGCGAGGCGATTTCTGGTGACGATTTTCGGGTGATTTCCGGTGACGATTTCCGGCGACGATTTCTTGCTGTTCTCTCTCTCTCTCTCTCTCTCTCTCTACGTTAAAACTCTCAACAACTCTTCTCTTCCATTATCATCCTTCGTAATTGACTTGGTAAAATCGTTTCGATTCAATCTTGAAAAGCAACCCAAATGAAGATCCCATGCGATGTCTGTAACAAAGACAAAGCAACGGTGTTTTGCTCCGCCGACGAGGCCGCCCTCTACACCGCCTGCGACCATCGCGTCCACCACGCCAACAAGCTCGCCTGAAAAAACCAGTGTTTCTCTCTCCTCCACCCTTCTCCCAAACAATTCCCTCTCTGTGACATCTGCCAGGTACAAACTCAACACAACCCAACAAAGGCCATCAATAAAATTCATATATATTAGCGTATTTTAGGCCTAGTTTGGGAAGACTAAATAAGTGCGCTTTTTGACTTTTTATGAAATATGGGTTGGGTTTGGTTTGGGTTGGGTTTGAAGTGATGTATTAGAGAGGTGATGTGACTTAAATAAGATGATGTGACTTAAATAGGATAGTGACTTTTTGTCTTTTTTCAATCTTCCCAAACTAGGCCTTTAGGCCTTATTTGTGCTTGTTGGAGAAGAGGGCTTTCTTGTTTTGTCAACAAGAGAGAGCAATTCTATGCAGAGACTATGATATTCCGATACACAAAGCCACCGAGCACACTCATAATCACTATAGGTTTCTTCTCACTGGTGTTAAGCTCTCTGCAACTTCTTCCCTCTACTCTTCGCAATCGTCCTCTGATTCTTCTACTGCAAACAATGATCTCCTTCCCAATCTCAAGTCTCAAAACTCCATCACCACCACCAGCAACAACAAACCCAGTTCCCTTCAACCCACCATCGCTGTGCCTGCCGGAGTTAGGGTTTTCAGTTTTTTTTTTTTTTTTTTTTTGTGCGTGTGTGTGGAGGTTTTCAATGTTTTTTTAATCAAAAAATAATAATAATAATTAAGCATTTTAGTCATGAATGAAATAAATTTTATATTAATTGATACTAATTAATAATTTTAGTATTAATTGATACTAATTAAGCCATTAATTAACACAAATTAATTTATAATAAAAAAATGAAATAATTTTATACTAATTGATTTATAATGAAAAAATGAAAATAATAATTTATAATGAAAACGTGAAAATAAGCCATTAATTGACACTAATTAATTTATAATGAAACAATTTTATACTAATTGATTTATAATGAAAAAATGAAAATAATAATTTATAATGAAAAAATGAAAATAATAATTTTTGTAATACTAATTATATTAACTTCTATTAATAAAATAATTTTTTTAAAATTAAAACTGAAAAAAATGACAAAATAATCATTTTTATATCATATAAAGGCAAAAAGGACAATTACACAGTAAAAAGTTATTTTACAGCTTATCAACCAAACACTACTCTACTGCTTAAATCGATAATCTCATAACTGCACCAAACAGGTTAACAGCTTATATTCACAGCTATAAGCTATAATCTGTTAAGTTATAATCTATAATCACTTTTGTACAACACTACCAAACAGGGCCAATATATGACCCCAAAAACTCAACAAAAGATGAAAAAAGAAAAAGTCTTGCCAATCCAAAAAATTAAATTAAATTAAAAATAAAAATAAAAAAAGAAGTCCCCCTAAGCCAAAACAAAAAGCATAATAGTAATGTTCCTTTTAACCACAATTTGTCAACTTGAATCTCTCTACACCATCAAAAACTCTCATGTAATAACAAAGATGAAGATGTTCAAATATTATTAATTATTTATTTTCAGGATGGTGGCAGAATCTTGGGGAAACCAAAGGCTAGATCTTTTGGAATTGTCTCAATAAATCTAGTCTTTTCCTCTTAAAAAGGTTTGGATATTGCAAGAAGATACATCATCTGCTACCCTTTCCACTTCCTTTTTCTCCTTTCTTTTCTTTCTTCTTTTTTTTTTTCATTTTCTTTTTTTGAATAAATTTATTCTTGCTCTCCTCCATATCTAGCTTCTTTCTCTAACATGGATGTTTTGAAGCATAAAACCATCTCTACGTGGCTTATTAAGTATTTGCAATAGTCTCTGCTGCATATAAATCGAAACTAATCCTTTCTTGAGCACCATTTTGCTTATGGGTTGTCTTGTTAAGGTGCTTTTATTCCATCATTCACAAACATTCTTTGTTTACTATTATTCCTATTTGAACCGGAAGGTCCTTTATTTCCTTTATGCTTAGGGTATTTTACTTTAAGCCTTGTCTACAATCTCTTGTTATATGTAATGAGTAGTCTAGTAACTTTAGAATTGTGGTTTGACCAAATTTTTAATCAGTAGACGTTTGCCCTGAAATAATTTTAACTGCAATGTACTTCCATTCCATTACATTTGATGATTGTATATCTTCTAATTGACTGGTGCAATACCATGGTTTTGGCAATTTTGTAAGATTTCAGTAAACAGGTAGGTATGCAAACTCACAACTTGATAATCAACAATCAGATTATAGTAGTAATAGGAAGGCAATACCTTGAGGCTTTCGAGGACCTCGTGCTCGAGGCCCGAGTAATCCCCCTCGGTGTTCTCCCTTACCACAACAATATCAACATCCAAGTGGCTAGTAGGCAGACCAGGCAAATTGAAGCAATTGACAGGGGAAGCATAACGATCGAGCTCTTTCCTCAGCTGAACGTTGAGCGGACTCACACCACCACCGATTGGAGTCTTGAGCCGCCCTTTCAAGCAGGTCTTGTTCTTGCGGATCGACTCGATCACCTCCGAAGGCACGCTCTTCATGTCGCCATGGACATCGTAGCGCTCGAAGAAGATTGGGGCGTGCATTGCTTCCATGACCGAGAGGTCCGATTCCATCGCCGGTGATGAGGGTGACGGTTCTAGGAGCGCCGTCACCGGGTCGGGGCTATTAGGTGACGGGTCGGGATGAAGCAAACCCTAGGAGAGAGTGAGGAGGAGTATGAGATGATGATGATGATGATGAGCGAGAGCATAGTTGTTTTAGGATGGGTAGGGTTCGTCGAGCCATGGATGTGGATTCCGGAATCTCCACACCAGATAGACTCTTCTTCTTGACTAGACCACACGTGAAACGAGTACAACACAAGAGCCGATCGCTCGAGAGAGAGTATCTGTGTTGGCTACACATTTTGTGGTAGCAAGTGACAATTCGATGCGTGGCAAAGAAAGAGTAATATGGGGAGATCAGGTAGGTCTTCGATTCTGGTTATACACGTGGCAATTAATATTGGTTGTTATAAGATCTGAGTAGTAGCGGATCAATAAAGAGACGTACGGTGACATGGCTTCAACGGTTGCTCACATTCAAATTCGAATATAGGGGGAAGCCTAACTGCAAGTGAAGGCGTAGTGGAACTACTTATAAGGTAGCAGTTGCAGGGACATAATCAAGTTGTCGAGCTCCATGATTCGACACAATTATTCCTGCGGCTCCAGCTAGTACTGCTAGACTTGCTGCATTATTTTCCAAAAATGTGGACTACATTGATGAGAACATTAGCAAGTAGGACCTCAAGAAGGAAAAGAGAACTCATTTTATCACTATCTTGCTTACCATCGTCAGCAGTTAAAACACCTTTCAATAGGATTGGTAAATGGGTGATCGTCTGAAGCCACTTTACATCCTGTCCAAAATGCCAAAGAAAAGGGGTCTATTTTTGGTTATTTTTTCACTTTTTTGTTTTCTACTTACATTTTCTCAGATTGTTTTTGAGAAATTTTTTTGAAAATAACTCACATTTTAGGAAACACAAAAAAAATTGTTTTTTGAAAAAAAAAAAAAAATCGCAGAAGAATGAGAATGATAAGAAAATGGTGGGCATTTTCAAACATTTCTTTGTTGTTTCTGAAAAAAACAAAAAAAAAAAAAGCCCAAGCATTTCAAATGATAACTTTTCAACTAAAGTTCAAGAAATCTCACACTAGAAAAAGAGACCTCACCTTCCAGTTAAGAGACTGGTTAGCTTGTTCGGCAAGATGTCTGGCTAGTCCAGAGTCATTGGTCTGCATGATCACCAGGAAAATTTGTCATGGGCAAACACAGTTGATAAATAAAAACCATCAGTCTAGAATAAGTCAATCATTTATGTCATTCACCTTATCTATCTTCCCAAGATCTAATCCCTCAAAGTTCTTCAATGTCAAATGTGACGGCAACTAAATCTATAGGCATTGTTGTCAAATCATAAATCGTTTTTGTTAAAATAGTGAATTGTGGATTGTATTGTGAACCGTTAGATTCACTTTATTTAATATATAATATATAATTTTATATACATATATCCATATAAAAATCCACAAATAGTGTTTAAAATGAAATAAATATCAATATAATTAAATTGTATACATGTATATACATATAAAATCACGTAAATCAATATAATTAATTGATCTCTTTTCTTCTTTATTTTTCTATTTTGGGAAAACGATGTCATTCCATGCAATTATCAAATTATGAATCGCATGATTCTAACAACAATGTCCATAGGATAACCCACATAAAAAATTAGGACATAAAAAACCTCTTGTAGTTTAAATAATAATTGGGTAGAGAAGAAAGACTTAACCAAGTCTTTTAAATTGTTGGTTTTAAACAAAATTGAATTTTTCGGTTTCAATTCACCTATTCTTAATATCAGCTTCTCTACGGCCAAGCCTTGGAGTATCCACAGTGAGAGCAATTGCCTTGAAGCCAGCCCTTTCAGCTCTTCTAATAAGTTGTGCAACCACATTTTTGTCTTTGATCATCTGAAAGAAAAGTGGGTAGTATGAGATGATACGAATTTACAAACAAATTAGAAATCCCAACCCATTAACAACATTAAGAGCCTTAAATAATGTGGAGTTCTCAAATGACTGGAAACACAATGAAAAAATAATTGTTGGGATATATCTCTTTATTGGAGTTTAAGACCCAATTGATTTTGGAAAAAGAATTTTAATTTGTTTTGGTTTGGATATAATATATTTTAATATATTATATTTAATTTAAAGACCCAATTCAATTTTAATACAATTAGAGTTTGATAAAACAAACTCAAGACCCAACTATATATATATATGGCTTTGTTTTCGGAGAGAGTTAACAGTGGCCTAATTATATTTGTTTTTCCCGAAGTTGAGTGAAGCAGCAGCAACACTTTTTTGATCAATTGATTGGTGAGATAGTGCTTAGGTGAAATTTGGTGGAATCAATTCTTGATTTTTGGCTACTGTTGGTGTGAATATTCAGCTGCTTTGTGTGGGTTGATTTGGAGTATTATTTTGGGTCTTTTACAATTTTGGTTTCTGAAGATTTTTGTTTATCTATTTGGTGAGGTCTTTCCTCTTATTTATTTGTGATTATTTGGAATTCACATAAGGGTGGTTTTGTGAGACCATTCGTGTCTCATTTGTAATTGTTTGGAAATTTTTTGGTTGATAGTGGAATCGAATTTCGATCCCGTGGACGTACCTCACATTGAGGAAACCACGTAAAATTCTTGTGTTGCTTTTTATTTAATTTTTTCGCATTAGTTTTTATTCCTATTGATTGATTTACTTGTGAGAATTACATATTTTTCCTAACAACTGGTATCAAAGCTTACGGTTTATTTGAGTTTATTTATTTGTGTAAATCAATGGAGGGGAATGTGGGTCGTATGTCTAGCTTCAATGGAAGCAATTGAGTAACTTGGAAAACTAAAATGGAGGACCTATTATTTTGTAAAGATTTATATGGACCCATTGAGGGTGATTCTGGCAAACCCGGGGGTATGAAAAATGATGAATGGAAGAGGCTTAATCGAAAAGCCGTTGGTGTTATCCGTCAATAGATTGATGACAGTGTGTTTCATCATGTTGCTACTGAAACTTCGGTACATGATTTATGAAAAAATTTAGAAAGTCTTTATGATAAAAAATCAGCCACAAATAAAGTCTTTCTGTTTCGTAAGTTGGTTAATTTAAAATATAAATATGGCAACCCCATTCCAGAACATTTGAATGAAATAAAAAGTATTGTTAACAAACTTGTTTCTATGAAAATTATTTTTGATGATGAGTTATAGGCTTTGATGCTACTTAGTTCTTTGCTCAAAAGTTGAGAGATTTTGGTTGTGACCGTTAGTAATTCGACGCCCGATGGAGTTGTCACAATGGATTCTTTTTCAAAGAAAGACATTGAGTGTTATTATTGCCATGAGAAAGGGCACATAAAGTAAGAATGCTGAAAGCTCAAGAACAAGGAGAAAATGCGTGACAAAAGTGTGGATAAGAAGTAAGAAGACACAATGGTAGTTACTACCGATGATCTCATGGTCGTTTGTGAAAATGATTGTATCAATTTTGTGGGCCAAGAGAGCAATTGGGTGATTGATTCCGATGCTTCTTTTCATGTGACTTCTCGAGTTGATTTCTTCACTACCTACACCAAAGGAGATTATGGTTCTGTTCGAATGGGTAATGAAGGTTTGTCCAAGATTATCGGCATGGGTGATGTTTGCTTGAAAACAAATTTGGGCTGCAAGTTGTTGCTTAAAGATGTGAGGCATGTTCCCGACATTCGCATCAATTTGATCTCTACCAGAAAGCTAGATGATGAAGGCTACAACAACAAATTTGGTGATGGAATATAGAAGCTCACAAAGGGTTCTTTGATGGTAGCTAAGTGTATCATACACTTTATTCGATGTAAGGAAAAATTTGTAAAGGTGTTGTCAATGCACTTGAAGATGATACTTCTACCGAATTGTGGCACAAGCAGCTTGGGCATATGAGTGAAAAAGGGCTGCAAGTTTTGTTCAAGAAAGAGCTTCTACCCGGTTTGAAAGGTACACATCTTAAAACTTGTGTTCATTGTTTGGCGGGTAAACAACATAGAGTTTCTTTTCAGAAAAATGTTACTTCTAAAAAAGAAAATGTTTTGGAGTTTATTCATTCGGATGTTTGTGGTCCTTTAAAAGTTAGAACACATAGTGGTGCACTTTATTTCGTTACTTTCATTGATGATTATTCAAGGAAAGTTTGGGCTTTTTTACTAAAAACTAAAGATCAAGTTCTAGAAGTATTTAAGCATTTTCAGGCCATGGTTGAAAGAGAAACAGGGCAGAAATTGAAGTGCATCCGATCTGACAATGGTGGTGAATACATTGGGCCATTTGATGAGTATTGTCGCAGCCAAGGTATTCGGCACCAAAAGACAATTAAGAAGACTCCTCAACAAAATGGCGTTGCCGAGAGGATGAACCGCACAATTGTGGAAAGAACAAAATGTTTGCTTTCACAAGCTAAATTGCTAAGATCCTTTTATGGTGAGGCAATGAAGACAGTGGTTAACGTGATCAATTTGTCTCCTTCTTATCCTTTGAATGGTGATGTTCCAGAAAGAGTTTGGACCAGTAAAGATGTATCTTATGAGCACTTGAGAGTCTTTGGTTGCCGAGCTTTTGTTCACATTCCAAAGGATGAAAGGTCCAAACTTGATAGTAAGTCAAGACAATGTATTTTTCTTTGGTTATGAGCGTGATGAATTCGGGTATAGATTGTGGGATCCGGTCGACAAGAAAGTCATTCAAAGCTGTGATGTTGTGTTTCTTGAAGACCAAATAATTGAAGACTTTGGCAAAGGTGATCAACCGGAGCCAAAAACTAGTGATCCCATTGACATGGATTCATCTTCTTCATCTTCAGTTGATGATGAAAATGGGGGAGATATACAGCCACCTATTGAATATATGGAGGATGCTGCTAATCCTAATGAAGTTGAGCCAGAAATTGAAGAAGAGCATCCAACTCAAGAACCGCCGCCACAACTTGAGTTAAGAAAATCTACAAGGGACTGGCAACCTTTAAGAAAGTATCCTCCCAATGAATTTGTATTGATATTTGATCAAGGGGAGCCCGAGAGCTACCAAGAAGCAATTGAGCATGCAAAGAAAGGTGATTGGAAAAAGGCCATGGAAGAGGAGATGAATTCTTTACTTGAAAATCACACCTATGATTTAGTGAAGTTGCCTAAGGGGAGGAAAATTTTGAAAAATAAGTGGGTATTCAAATTGAAGAATGATAGCAAGAATCTGAGGTACAAAGCACGCCTTGTTGTGAAAGGCTTTGCACAAAAGAAAGGCATTGACTTTGACGAGATTTTCTCACTGGTTATAAAGATGTCTTCTATTCGGGTTATACTTGGCATGGCTGCAAGTATGAACCTTGAAGTTGAGCAACTTGATGTGAAGACCGCATTTCTTTATGGTGATCTTGAAGAAGAAATTTATATGGAACAACCGAAAGGTTTTGTGAAAAAAGGGAAAAAGAAATTTGTTTGCAAATTGAAGAAAAGTTTATATGGTCTCAAGCAAGCCCCGCGACAATGGTACAAAAAATTTGACTCTTTCATGATGAATAATGGTTTTTCTAAAACCACTTCGGACCATTGTGTGTTTGTGAAAAATTTCTCAGATGGCAAATTTATTATTCTTTTGCTTTATGTTGATGACATGTTAATTGTAGGTCAATATTCTACCATGATTAACAGGTTGAAATTGGGGTTGAGCAAGTCTTTTGCTATGAAAGATTTGGGACCGGCAAAGCAAATACTAGGTATGAAAATTGTTCGTGATCGCAAAGAGGGGCTGATTTGGTTGTCTCAAGAAAACTACATGGAGAAGGTTTTTGAGAGATTTAACATGGATAAAGCAAAGCCGGTTGGTTGTCCACTTGCGGGTCACTTCAGACTTAGTTCGAATCAATGTCCTACAAGTGAGAAAGACAAAGAAGAGATGTTGAAAATTCCTTACGCTTCAGCAGTTGGTTCTTTGATGTACGTCATGGTTTGTACAAGGCCGAATATTGCTCACGCCGTTGGTGTGGTGAGTCGGTTTCTCTCTAATCCGGGTAAAGAACATTGGACATCGGTAAAATGGATTTTAAGATATCTTCGAGGGACTTCGAAGGTATGTTTGTGTTTTAGAGATGGTAAGCCGATGCTTGATGGGTTCACAGATTCTGACATGGCTGGTGATGCTGATTCTAGAAAATCTACTTCGGGGTATTTGATGACTTTTGCAGGGGGAGCTGTGTCATGGCAATCTAAATTACAAAAATGTGTTGCTCTCTCACCTACCAAAGCTGAATTTATTGCCATTACAGAAGCTTGCAAAGAAGAGTTATGGTTGAAGAAATTTTTGCAAGAGTTTGGTTTGAAGCAAGAAAAGTATGTGCTTTATTGTGATAGTCAAAGTGCTATTCACTTGAGTAAAAATTTTACTTTTCATTCGAGATCGAAACACATTGATGTAAGACACCATTGGAATCGTGATGTGTTAGATTCGAAATTGTTGTAACTCGAAAAGGTTCACACGGATGATAATATTTTGGATATGTTGACTAAGACTTTGTCGAGGAACAAACATTTGAAGTGTCGAACTTTGGCGGGTATGGTTGATATCTCCACCTAAGTCGATAGGGGGAGAATTGTTGGGGTATATCTCCTTATTGGAGCTTGAGACCCAATTGCTTTTGGAAAAATAATTTTAATTTGTTTTGGTTTTGGTATAATATATTTTAATATATTATATATAATTTAAAGATCCAATTCAATTTGGATACAATTAGAGTTTGATAAAACAAACTCAAGACCCAACTATATATATATATGGCTTTGTTTTCAGAGAGAGTTAACAGTGGCCTAATTATATTTGTTTTTCCCGAAGTTGAGTGAAGCAATAGCAGCACTTTTTTGATTAATTGATTGGTGAGATAGTGCTTAA